TGCATTTCAAAAATAATTAGATTTTCAATAAATGAATCCTAATATTTTAAAGCTATGTCATAGACTTCAAGAGATTATACATAAGAAAAATGTACACTTCCTATAAAGTAACAAATAAAATGATCATGAGTCTGAAAAATGTACATGAAACAGAGTAGAATGTTTACACAGTCACCAGATTGTAAATTTTCATGAGCAGTTGGTCTCAAAACCTTGTGTAAATACCAGTTTAGCAAATTATGAGCATAAAATACCAAGATTTACATAGGAGGATGGGCTGTTAAGAGAATTGGAATATATTTAGATCAACAGAAAGTCTACTGGAAAAATAAAAATCCTTTCATGTTATTATATTTTCTCTTTTTCCAGTTAGGGTAAGAGAGAAACTTAATTTGTATTTGGGGTTATGTTAAATTCCAATATTGCACTGACATATGTACATATATAAGTTAGTGATTTAAACTGTGGCTGAAAGTGGTCTTGGTACTGATTGGCATGTATGAAAATGCCAAAGCTTGAAAAAAAAAAAAAAACCAACAACAAAACATGAAACCTGTCAAAATACCCTTAAAGCTTAGGAAGCAAGTATCCATTATTTCTAAATTTGGTGACATCTACACCAATCTGAAATATGTTCTTTATTGTTGAAAGAACTGGGTTGATGTTTAATCTATCAAAAAGTATTATGAATAGTAGTTTAAGTTTGACTTTTGAAAGGAATTTGGCAGTTCTTATGATGAGATTAAAATGCATTCATGAATAGTTAAAAGAGGGAAGTCCCAATGCTTACTCAGTCCCTGTGCTTAAAATAGTAAAGATTCCAATTAGCATATTCTTTCATCTTATTTCCTATATCCGAATTCTGAAGCAAAAAGAGATGCTCACATAGTCACTCATTCCTGTCCTTGATGTGTGACATTGAATTAATGATGTCAGAGATAGAGACTAAGACAGAAACTCATCAATTCCCCTTGAAGAAGCTTACACTCCAGTTAAAATAAAGATAAATGCATTGCTTTTGGTAGTGACAACCAAAATAGAGGTCAGTGATTACCTGCAGGAGAGGGCATGATTGAAGTACTTCAAAGGCAGTTTGGTAAAGGAGAAGAGACACCAGAGGGAAACAGGAGGGCAGAAAAGAGATTAAAAGCTCTGTTACTGTCAAGAGTGAAGCTAGTCTGTCTGCCCCTTTCTTCACTACCTGACTGTTTTTGATTAATCAGCACTGTTCCCTCTTGAAGACAATTTTGCTTTAAAATGTGGTAAATAGCCGATTGCTTTCTAAAACACAAACCAATTCTCAAAATAATAACAGTACATAAAAAGGATAAATTATTCATTCTGCCAATCCAACACCATTATTTTCAGCTCATTATTTTTTTGTTAAGTTAGTTTGTTATGTATTGCTACATTGAAGCCATCTAGCAGGTGTGCTGTCTTACTTTGCTGTGGTTCCATTGCCAGATGCAACAGGCATGTTTTACAAAGTCCGTGCACCAAAAGGTTTGACATAGTTAACAACATAACCTAAAACTGACAGCACCCTCACTCTGCTTTATTTATTTATGTATGTATTTATTTATTTGCTTATTTGCTTATTTATTTACTTTGCTGGATTCTCTGGATCACTTCTAAGATTTACATACATTGTCTATTTTAATCACAACAAAACTACAAGAAATTCACTTCAATTCTTAGTATTTTATAAATAAAAATCTTTAAGCAAGAAAAAATTTAGGTAAACATTAAGGCTTCATTGCTATTAATAGGTAGAGGGACAGCAGGGACTCTACATTCTGTTTCCTGGCTCTTCTTTCACCTGGGCATCATTGCGATGGGACCAGTTTAGGTTCTGATGGCCTCAGTTTTCTCCTGGCACTGTCTCTCAGGATTGTTCCAGTGGAATAAATGGAAACTCATAGCGAGGCCTGGATTTACAGGGGTACACTGCAGTTTATGCAACAGCCCACATGAATTTGTCACTTACAGAGATAAGCCTGAGTGGACAGCTGCCACCAGGTGGCACCAAATACAATTTAAACATAAATGGATGCAGCCAGTGTCCATGTTGGTTTTGAGCTGGGCACTTTCAGCTTCAGTATTTTTGCAGTTTACAATATTCAGAATTTCTAGATTATGTTTATATTGTTATAGGGGCGTTTGTTCTTTAAGGTTTGAAATTGAAAAAGCATTGTGATAGAATATTAAGTTTTTATATGTGATTACACTTTCAGGGAGTGAGTTTTAGGGAAGCTGAAAAGCCACATATTATAAATCCGCAGAATTTTTTTAACACTTCCTCAGACAAAGCATGAAGGTACGGACATATTCTCAGCTGTGAGGATGGAGTAGCTGTGATTCCTTTTCTTCTGGTTTTGTCAGATGATATTGAGGATGGTGTTGTTATATCGACCCCAATTTTTATTAGATATCATTTGATAAAGACAAATTAGGCCTTTGAAGAAGGTCCTTTTACAGATAGTAAACAGAATAAAAGAAACAAGACTCTGTCAAATTACAGTTATGAAGCAGCAACATAATTAATTTTATCCTGGGGATCATCACACATGAGGGACTGTATTGAATGTTCACAGCATTAGGAAGGTTGAGAACAACTGCTTTAGAATGAAAATTAACAGTTGAGATGATCCCATTATTTTACTATTCCACCAATTACAAATTCCTTACCCTTAATATTTCTTCTATACATTTTTTGCTTTATTTCTTTGTTTGTTTGTTTTTGTCTGTTTGTTTTTTGTAGTAAATGAGATTCACTAGTTCAGTCACAATATTTAGTTGAATTTCATTTATTCAAGTTATACCCATATCCTATATAAAAATATTTAAATAATGCTGTGTAACCATTGAATTCTTTGTCTGATTCTAATTTAACTAATACTTTAAGTACCATTGTACCATTTTCCTTAGTTTTGATTTTCACTGTCTTAATTAGCAAAACACAGATATGGTTCTCAATATTGTTCTTGTTGATTTGGAAGATAAGTATGAAATGTTTAGTGACTGATGAGTGGCTGAGAGGTAAAATATACTTTCATGCTATAACTTCAGAGAGTCTTTGCCAGATGTAAGAGCACAGGAATCTTTTCTCTTATTCTATGTTTGAGAGATACACTGCTTTGTTCTATCAAAGTGTAATCCTAAGAGAGACACCAAGACAGTGAAAAAGTGTAGCTTAATGGCGATGAGATTAATTTGGTGTTATAGTATCATTAATTTCAAATAATAACAAAAAGAATGTCAGATTTACAGCATTTTTTCTTGTTGTAAGATCTTGAATCACAGAAAACAATAAAAGAAATGAGATCATCAATTTAGTAGAAGGAAAAAAAAAGCAAAAAATTGAGCAGGAAATATCTACAAAATGGTTAAGCTTCTTTAAGGCTATTTAAGGAACAGAAAACAAAATTCAAATAACTATGGTCAAAAATCAGAACTCTCATGGGCATTACAGGAATGAATAAATTATCATAAAAATCTTTACACCTTACAAATTTACCAATGTGCCTGAAATGAACCAACCCTAGAGAGAGTCAGAATACGAAAACACATGAAATAAGAAATAATAATCTGCATGAACTCATATTAAAATAATTAAGTTGATCTTTAATAACCATACAAAGTAGCCTATAGCAGTTTCATTGTGTTCACTGATGAGTCATAAAAAGCATTTAGGTGTGATAGTTTAGCTGTTTTCAGTGAACCTTTCTAAACTGTTCAAGGAAATACAGTAAACACAAGACATTCGATGAAGTTAAATAACAAAAAAATAACAAATAATAAAAGCAAATAAATAATAACAAAGCAAAATTATTACAAGGAAACAGTATACCCATATAAATTCTTAGCAAAGTACTAAAAAAGCTTATATATTAAATTTAATAAACAATTTCTATGGAAACCAGTGGTAACACCACACTCAGTGTTGAGAAAAGTAATGCTTTCTAACCAATAACAGGGACAAAATAAAGTCACACTTTCTTAATTTAATTTTTTTAATTACACTTTATTCACTTTGTATCCCCCTATAAGCCCCTCCCTCCTCCCCTCCTAGTCCCACTCTTCCTCCCCCTTCTTCACGCATGTCCCTCCCCAAGTTCACTGATTGGGGAGGTCCTCCTCTCCTTCCTTCTGATCTTAGTCTATCAGATCTCATCAGGAGTGGCTGCAAAGTCCTCCTCTGTGGCCTAGCAGGACTGCTCCTCCCTGGGGGTGGGTTGGTGTCAAAGAGCCCGTCATCGAGTTTCTGTCAGAAACAGTGATGATTCTTTCACAGATGTAGTGATGAAGTCATAAGCAGTGAAATAAATTAATACAGACACAATGAAGAACTTACAAAATTCCGTCTTATTGTTTGTGAACATGGCAATAAGACATTGTACATAAAAATAATGAAGGTCTATCAAGTAAAAAGTGACTAAATAGAGTAGTAATTCACATTTCACATGAGTACAGCCCGCTAACCACTGCCCCACTGGAGCTCTGAGTCATTCTTATTTGAATGATTTCAAGGCTGATTTTATGCAAGTGTGAAAGGAGGAAATGGAATATGACATGATTCTTCTTGTTGAGGGTTCAGGAATAGCCGCTCACTGGCCACTCAGACACCAGACTCAACTCAATAGAAGTTTATTGAATGCTAAACAGAAACTGTCTGGTCCTGGCCCTAATATGGATTCAGGAGCCAGACTGTAATGTTGGTCTGCTCCTAAGGCAGGTAACAGTTAGGTAACAAAACTGTAACTGGGTGTAGGAAACAAACCCCAAGTAAGTAACAGCCAGGTAGTCAAAATGCAACCAGGTGTCCAAGTGAAGGAAGCAACATTCTATCATTATGACTAGCTAGACAAAGGGTTTCTAACTGACCTTTAATTTGGTTGGTTCTACAGATGGAGAATTTTAGAGTGTCCAGGTAACAAAATATACAAAGTTTGAGAAATAAAACCATAGAGACATAATCAAAATGGAGACTTCAAGGCGAAATGGCTTATGATATGATAAAGGCTCCAGCAGGTATGAACAACAGAGGAGCCATAGTTTTGCTAAATAAAGTAGGTCCCAACAGAGGGCCTATAGAACTTAAGCAGGTTACAACACGACGTCCATATTATATTAAAAACAAAAGAAAACAAATAAAAACTAAGTAAAATTGATTTATTAATTTTAAGTAATTATATAAAATGCACTTTGATCATCAACAAACATCTTATCCTCCCTGATTTACTATCTATCACATAAACATTCCATTTTTTTAATTTAATAACCTACTGACTTCAATTAAGTGTTCTTCATGTTTTTCTGGATGTAGGACCACACACTGGCAAGTGTTCCACCTATCAGAAGCCATACATCAACTGCCCAAACTACCTCACTCAGAAGTAGGGGTTCATGAGCTTCCTACTCCATTAAAGAATATAGACTTGCTTGATCTTGTGCAGGACTTTTGAGGACAACCACTATTGATATGATATTATTAGTGCATTGGTCTATCCTCTGTAGAACACGCTATTTCCTCCAGCTTTTTGCATCTCCTGCCTCTAACAGTCTTTCTGTTCTATCTTTCCCAACAGTCTCTGAGCCTTGAGAAAGGGTCTAACACAGATGTCTCATTTGTGTTTGAAACCTCCACATGTCCTTTATTTCTTCACTTCGGACAGTTGTTAGTTTCTGGTAAAAACATCTGCTACACACTGAAATGTCTTTGACAAGCACTGAACGTTGCACTGATCTTATATTTTGACCCAGACAGTTTTAGTACCTGCCACCTTTTTGAGGGTTCATCCTTCAGAGCGTGAGTAGCAGGTAAAGATGCCAGCACTGCCATGCCCCACTTTGGTGCAGATCCTTTATGCTTCATGAGACTATGCATGTTTGAGCATGGCATGCACATGGAACTTTTTACAATGTAGTCAACATCTCTGTGAATCTAAAACACTTCTAAATTCATTTAATGTATGTTATTTATTCATTTGTTTACTTATTTAATCTCTATGTGGTATATTGTACGTGTGTTTCTGTGTGTACATATATGTGAAGTGCACACGCCCATGTGGCGGAACAGAGCAAGCTTTCTCGTGGATCCTGGGACCTGGCTCATGTTTCAGTGCTCGTGAGGCAAGCACTTCAGCAATATGGCTATCACCCGTCCCTTCAGAATGACATTCGCTGAGAAATATTAAGAAATGAAGCGCGGCATCCTGCGTTTCATTCTGAGGCTATTTGGAAACACACTTCAGCTTTACATTTTGATACTGTAAGAGATTACATGGTCAATTACACAGGGGTGTGGTAATACATTTATAATGTGACACTTGGAGCCATTGGCATGATTAATTACCATGCATTAAACATTGGCTGAGGAACCATACTTCAAAATGATTATGGGATTATTACTATTTAAACATGTGCTAAACTGGAACATGCCAAAGATTTGCAGGATGTTTTCTTCAGAAAATATTTCGTGTTACAAAGAGCTACACTCAAATTCTTAGTTAAAGGTAAAGGAAAAATAATTTCATAGAAAAATGCAATAAAACATTTGTAACTATTATTAGTTCTAAATCTGTTAGGCTGTATTATGTCTAGGTATTGTGTCATTGAAAAATTATGAGTATTCAGACCTAAGGCAATATTTTATTTTAAACAATACTTTATTATCTTTTTAACTCATTAATTAATTAACTTTACATCCTGATCATAGATCATAGGCTCTCCATCTTCCTTTCCCATTCCCATCCTCCTTCCCACTTCCCCTTCACCCCTTTCCCCTACTCCTCAGATAGGGGAACATCTCCCTACCAACTCAGAATATCAAGTCATATCAGGACTTGGGACATATTCTTTGGTGGCCAGGTTAGGCAGTCCCACTAGGATGGAGTTTTTTAAAAGCAGGTGACAGAGTCCATTTCAGAGGTAGCCCCCTCTCCCCTTTTTAGGAGGCCTATGTGTTGGCCAAACTACACATCCTCTGCCCATACATAAGGAGCCTAGGTCGAGCCCATGCATGATCCATGGTCCATAAGCCCCTTGACATAGGCTAGTTGACTCTGTTGATCTTCTTGTGGAGCTCCTGGCCAACCGGGTTCTTCTAGTCTCCCCACTCTTCCATAACACTCCCTGCACTCTGACCAATGTTTGGCTGTGAGTCTCACCACCAGCTTTGATCCTCTGCTGGCTGGATCCTGTCCGAGGACAGCTATGCTAGTCTCCTACCTACAAGCATAGCGGAGCACTCTTAATAGTGCCAGGGGCTGGCTCTCACACATGGAATGGGTCTTTGGTTGGGCCAGGCATTGGTTGGGCATTTCCTCAATCTCTACTCTATATTTATCTCTGCACATCTTGTAGGCAGGGTAAATTTTGGGTCGAAGTTTTTGTGGGTGTGTTGGTATTCCCCTCCCTCCAATAGGAGTCCAATCTAGTTCGTGGGTGGTCTCTTCAGTCTCTATGACCTATGCTAGTAAAGTTTCAGCTACAGCCACCCCCATATCCTCCTAGGAGCAATATAGGTAGTAATACAAGTCACACATACAAAATGGAGTAAAGCTACAGCCAACAATCTTGCCTTTTGAGTGCCACAAAGAATTTTAAGCATTCCATTCCCATTATACTTTACATTCTGTCTCTTAGTTTTCACACCATTTAACTGGAAGAATAACAGCACTGAGTTTTGAAGAAAATTTTGCTATTCATGGTTTCTAGTTCATTATGTATGTAAGAAGATTGGTGGTATGGTATCAATACAATAATTATTAGATATGTCTCTCCCACACATATGTGTATATATAATGGATTATCACAGGTTAAATTAAAATGCAACAAAAGTTATTTGTTCAAGTTTGGAAATATTAGAAATTGTGTATACTTTCAAATTCAAAGACGTCTGCTCTTTAGATTTGAAAAGTATAATCATTGTAAGCAAATAAATTTACATGCAAATCAATTTATGTATTTTAGTACACAATAACATTAATAAATCACCACAGCATGCAGCTCAGTTGGTTTTTCCGCATTGTGATATTATTTTCAGCCTTACTACATATAGATGAATTTTTCAGTGCACTGTCCTATTTAAACTTTTCTGTTTTATTTTTACAAAGCTTGCATTTGTTTCCAGTAGCTTTCTGACAGTGTGGTGACAGTGTCATCAGTTTGCTAAGTCAAGAGGAAAAAAGAACAGATTTCCACATGTGGGAGCCTCAAGCCACATTTTGAATAACACTTCTATAAATAATATCATAGTATAGTATTTGGTGACATCTTTGAACTCAGCGACAGTAACACAACTTTCTTGAAGCATCAATATCATATAGATCTAATGAAGTTTTAAGCTTTAGGGGATAACAATCATTGTTCTTTACACTCTTCTGTTTTAATCGTATCTTGTCAGTATTGACAGATATAACATAGTACATGTAAGTACATTGCCTTCAAACTGTGGCAAACTTTAGTTAGCATAGTACCTCCTGCCATGCTTTCACTGACACAGGAATATTTAGAGTAATGGGCAATTATTTATACTTTAGAGATAAATTTAGAACATTTTAAAATAAACCTGTTCTGGGTAGACTAGGTTTACAGTCTAAATTTACCCTTTCAATTTGGTTTAAGATTATGTGAAATTATTGTTATTTAGTAACAAAACTGAACTGCTAACCAAAACATAAATCATGGCTTTCAGATGAAATGTTTACTTTAGAACGAGACACATTATCCATGTGTATTCACATGCTACTGTCTGAGTGTCTTAAAATGCAAAGGCTTTTAAAGCATTATGATAGAAGTCACATACTCGTACAATTTCCAAACAAATGAATTACAAATAACTAATAAAGGAGAGCCAAAGAGAAAATAAAAATAAGCATTTAATTCACTCTATTTTGGTATTTTACTGTTTATGTAATATTAATTTTGATAGTCAGAAGCAGTTGACTTAGAGCTAATAGTCTTAAAAGTGCTGTTTTGTAGAGACATTTGAAAGAGTATGTGCTAATTTAAATGATTAGTGTAACAAAATGTGTTCAAAGTATTCAACTATGTATGGGGCTATAAACATTACAGCAAATCAAATACAACACACAAGTACATATATCCATACATAAACTTAGGTGACTGTCTCCCTTTAATTGTTCACTATATGATTACTGTTGACCTTGCTACTATGACATATTTCTATAACTATATTAATTCTTGGTACTACTGATAACCTCAGAAACTTAACAAAAGAAAGATTTGAACAACAGGCTTTTAAGCAAATAGTATTTTGAAACATATCTTCTCTGAACTATAACATAAAATAAATAAATTTATTAGCACATGCTGCATTACTGTTCTTCATTGGACAATGAGTCCTTTTCACTTTCAAATGAATGAAGATGAAATTTATAACTAATTAGGATAACTGATCCAATATACTTCTGATTATATGTTTAAAGTTTTAAAAAGTAATGTATACCTGAAATAGCTTGAATTTTTCATTTAGAAGTCTCTTTCTTTCTTCTGTGAAATTCTTGGTTTTAAGATTATTTTTCTTGGCATTAAAATATCATGCAGAAATTTCTGTCAATTCTAAAATTACATTCTCTAATATGCTATAAGCAATAACTTTAATTAATCCTAAACAGCTGTTGTAGATTTTGTATGTGTGACCTTTGTCAAAATTCCATTCTTATTTTTATGTTATTATGGTGTATCTAGATTGTTTTATTCATTAGAAATTATTTTTACTTCCTTCTAGAAGTAAATATCTTTATTTACAAGGCATATGGTATTTAGAAAGAATATAGTTTTTTCAACCAAATTTGTATATGCAGCTGTCAACCATCTTATGGAGACTTCCATACAAAGTTCAGTCACATTAGACCCATCCTTAGAAAGAACACAGGCTCCCTCTAGGGAATCATTCAGTCATCTCGAGTTGTAGATTTCCACTGCTGTGTAATAAAATAACAGACTTTATAGCTTGCAAAAACAAACGAACAAACAAAGGAACAAAAAACAGAAAAGTTTGGTAT